TTATAACTGCTACGAAAACAGTGCTGCTGAGAGTCATTGCTCTTGATTAATAGCAAAGTATATTTTTTAGAAGGAAAAGCCTACATTTATCTTTGATTTCTAACTACATGCACATATGCCAATTGCCACAGAGAGTTTATTCTGCTGGACATTTGAGACATGTGGGCTGCATTTTTACAGCTGCTCCAGACAGAAAATCTTTTCAGTGTCTATATATTCTACATAGCTAGGCAACAAAGAGGACAATTTACAATTGGCAACCCTTCTAAACCTTCCTGTTTTATTTGTGCCTTAATAAAATGATTTATCTGAGTGGAATCTATAGTACCAGGGATTTCAATTCCCATAAATTAAGACTTTCAGAATGCAATCATTTTTATTCTGATTCCAAGTTCCACATTTTCTGTACCCATAATTTGTCAAAATAAATTTTAGAAAAAATGTGTGACTCTCTACCATATTGTCTACATCCCCCAAACTGACACCACTTGGCTAATATTACATCATTCAATTCTCATTCATATTGAAATGCTTTATTACTGACTTTGTAATAGCAAATGAGGCTTGCAGAAAACTCCATCCAGAGAGTCATGTTCTTCTGTAAATGTGATAATTGCCCCCATTTGACTACTGATTCATTTGGCCTTCATATGGATAATTAAGAACCATAGACCTGTGGTAATCACCTAACCACATGGTATTCTGAACATTTTCAGCATCGTATTTAAAGTATACCAATTAAATTAAACACATTTTTCAAAAGCTTGGTTTAAATCAAAAGGTGCTTATTTTTTATTTACACTTAAAGGTTGAAATCAGCTACTATTTTGTTCCCTTTTCAAGTATTATAATCAGTCATAATGTGATAATAGTGTTAATTAATGACTTAGTTATGAATCATTTTACTATACTGTGGGTAGAAAGTTCTCCTAGTTGCTTATGTAAAAAATGTGGAATTTCAGATATACATATTCATTTTGACATTTAACAAAGAAGCTTTTACTTTATATTACATGTTTGTTTTAAGTGATTGCCCTATGAAAAGGAAAAGATATTTTGTTCATAAAGAATAAGAGATTCAAATAGTTCAGTTGAGTGGGCAATATTATTTTTAAAGAGATTCTATTGGATTAGTTGGTTGACTTTAGTAATGTTTTCATTTTTGTTGGAATAATTCAACATAACTTAAAGTTGAATTTTATTAATGTTTTGCATTTTCAGGAAACAATATTTACAGACTTCAGCATTTGGCTCTACCCACAAATTAATAATATTACATTTTCCCCAAAACATTAATCTTTATTATAGGAAGGGAAATGGGGCAGAGGGAAAAATGATGAATTTATAAACATTATTCAAACTCTTAACTTCCTTGCCAAAAAAATTCTGATTAGTTTTTCCTTTTCAAATTTGTAGAGCCCAACAATGAGCTCAGGAAAGATGGTTTCTTTCAACAATTCGGAAGATAGACTCTGATGGGTCTCATTCATTTGTGGTAATTCCACTCCTAGTTATTTGTTATTAGATTACAGTTAGGAAAATGACCAAATTCTGGCCACTGACATAAGACATCTGATATGGCGCTTGTGGGAAAGTTTATATACACATATTTGATTAAAAGCAAAGAAACTCAAAAATAAGACCACTTAATTCTTTCAGGCTTATGACTGCTGTCATATGAAGACTCACAACTGCAGCAAATCTACTGAAACACTGATGTTAACCCAAGACATCACAGGAATTGAGATTTTTCCCTTGTTGAGATACTTAATCAAAGACTTTGGAATTGCCTCCCTCCAGAATTATAATTCAGTGATATAATCAACAACCTTAATGATTAACACATTTCTAGCTGAATATTGAGTTTCTTAGAGGAAAAAAAAAGTGATAAATAAAATATAAGAGATATGGAAACACTGGACATGGTCTCTGGTTTATATAGAGATTCTCCTGGTTATGCCTTTGCCCCTTAGACAGAACTGTGTTTATTTGATTGATATATTTTGGGAAAAATAACTGTAAATGATCAATTTAGCTGCATCTTTTTCCTCTTGGGAGCAAGAAGCCAGAAGCCACAGAAAGTATCTGCCGGGAGTGGTGCCTCATGCCTGTAATCCTAGCACTCTAGGAGGCCAAAGTGAGAGAATTGTTTGAGCTCCAGAGTTCCAGACCAGCCTGAGCAAGAGTGAGACCCCATCTCTACTAAAAAAAATAGAAATAAATTAGCTGGACAACAACATATATATATATATATATATATATATATATATATATATATATATATATATATATATATATATATTAGCTGGGCGTGGTGGCACATGCTTGTAGTCCCAGCTACTCGGGAGGCTGAGGCAAGAGAATTGCTGAGCCCAGGAGTTTGAGGTTGCTGATGCCACAGGACTCTAGCCTGGGCAACATAGTGAGACTCTATCTCAAAAAAAAAAAAAAAAAAAGAAGAAGAAGAAAAAGAAAGTATATATCACTATTGATCCTAGGACTGTGTAGGTGACCCTGCCTAATCCTGGGTTTCAGGATCAGGAAGTGCTTTTAGGCTTTTATCCTCCAATCATGCCCCATCAGTAATAAACTAGATATTTTGGCCTCTATCTACCCCTCCTTTTTTTAAATCTCTTTAATTCAGATTCATAAGAAGTGGCTACTCATCATTATTTTAGCAGTAAATAATTGTATGATTTTGACTGTGAAAGCCCACAGTTTTTCTGTCTTGAATACCATCCCCCTCTCTTAATTATAACCTACATTTTGCTGCAACTGTGTCCTGCATAGAGTATTTTAATATTACCTGCTATACTTTAATGGAATTTTGTGTTAATGAAATGTAAGGCCCTTAAGGATATGGATCACATACTATTTGATTTTGTATTTCCAACATCTGTCACATTTTTAAACCTAGAATATATGTTCAACCAACAGTTCTTAAATTAATGCTTAAAATTTTCATCTTTATTAATATATTATACCGATCAATAAAAATAAGATGCCAGTATCTATTCTATTTATTGTTAGCACTACATTTGCAATTATATATCAAGGTTAAAAGGAACAATGAGGACAAAAATAGGCACCATAATTTGGGATAAAATTTCTAAGAAAGGGATTGTATGTATACATACATATATATATATGTATATATATATTCTCCATTGGTCATTTCTATGATACTTTTTATTCTTAAATAGAATGTCAAATATTAGGTAGGATATATTAAGCTAGAGAAAGGATCACAGAGAAAGAACAAAATAAGGCTGTCATTAGTTCAATGAGGCTGTCAAATCTAAGTCATTAGTCCTAAAGATTACATACAATAGAAACCTCATTTTATTTTTAATTCTGAGATTTACCATATCACAAAAATTCTGATAGGAATGCTTAGGGTAGGCTGATGGATCTCAGTATGTCCACGGTCCCATGGTGATTATGATGTGTACCAAGGCTCTATCACCACTCCTCCTGCCAAATGAATACTCACCTTTTTATATTGGAACATGTCAGATAAACAGAGAATGACAGAACTTTAAATCCCAGTAAAGGCCAATTACATTTAAAATATGTCATCCATTAGAACCACCAGTGTTGGCAGATGGGATAATTTAAATTTAAAAAGAAAAAACAAAACTTGATTAGTTCTTTTCCATAGTCACAATTCCCATTTATCTAACAAAGCTGCTGTGAAGATCCCATGAGAGAATTTGATAGTATTTTTTAAAATTCTGAAGTGTTATTGCTACTTTTTTACAATTTCAAAATAATGTTTCCAGTCTGATTTTATTTTTTCAATGCCCCTCCCCACCATTGTAGCATAGAGCTCAAAGCTATAAAATTTTTTTGTCAGAAGGCCTCAGCTTACTGGAACCTCTACCCTTTCCAGATCAAGGACTGCAGACAGTGACTTTACCTCTATGAGCCTCAGTTTTCTTCTCTATACAACTATGAAACCTATCTACAGGACTGATGTCAGTATGAGATGATGTAACACATTTAAATGACTTAACTGTATCTGGTACAAAATAATAAATGTGCTTAATTAGTGGAGAATATTAACAAAAATGTCAATAATGATGATGAATTCTCCCTTGTACATGTTTTAAAATATTCCTGCCCCACTTTACCTATACAAACTCATCTCTTAAAAATTCTCAAGAGAAATCTTAAATTTTATCCTGTTAACTTTCCTCATCAATCTTCTTGATGGCCACGTTTTTTAAGTTGATTTCTTAGCCACTGCATAAAATTAACAACCAGTTAATTTCAAGTATATTGTTTATTGTATATTGTTATAGTAACTATCTGCTAAATATTTTGTTTTTTCATTTATTATTTTATTCATTTATTAAATATGTATTGAATACCTATTACATACCAGCCTTTTGGTGATAAGCACTAGAAATAAAATAGTAAACAGGTGTTGTTTACAGTAAACATGTGTTTCTTCCACATTCAACTTAATGTGGGAGCAAAAAATAATCATATAAAACTGCAAAGACAGAAAGAGGCAGGGTGAAGGAGTGTGGAACACTGCCACATGTGTGGGTAGATGGGAGGGTTCCAATATAAGTGGTCTATGTGGTGTGCAGGTTCCGATATGGTTGTCAGAAATAGGCATTCAGAGAGCTGATTGTAGAGAGAGAGTCAGCTATAAAGGAAATAATGCTTCTAGTGAAAGGAAAAGCACACAAAGTTTCAAGATCAATTTGTGATTGAATGGATGAAAGAAATAGAAGAAGAGCAGTGTGGGTAAGCAGTATTAGGGCTGTGGAAATACGTTTTAAGTATTGCAGAGACCAGTTTGGAGGGTGATGCATTAGTCCACATGAGAGATGGAGATGGAGAAGGTACCAAAATCGCCAATGTAATGAGTATGTCTTGTGTTCTGATCTCTAAAACTCTGAATTTTTCCAATAAAAAATCTGTAATAATGGTGGTCCAAAAATCACATTCTATATTGAAAACATTCCATAATGAATTTACACTTGCAGGTTGCTAAGGACCAAATGTTTGTGTTCTCCACAAATACCTATGTTGAAGCCCCTTCTCAGTGGAACCATATTTGGAGATAAGGCCTTTATGAAGGTAATTAGGTTTAATGAAGTCATAAGGGTTCAGACCTAATCCAATGGGATTGGTGTTTTTATAAAATAATAATAATAGTAATAATGAGGACATGGGATTGGGGCTCCCTCTCTCTTGGTGTGCACAAAGAATAAAGGCCATATGAGAACACAGCCACAAGGCAGTCAGTCATCTACCAGCCAGGAAGATGACCCTCATCAGAACTGGACCATCCTGGCACTTTGATCTAAGGCTTTCAACCTCCAGAACTCTGAGAACATAAATGTCTGTTGCTTAAATTACTCAGTCCATGGTATATTGTTATTGGTAGCCTGAATGGATTAAAGTCATCAAAGCATCTGGTTGTTGCACATACCTAGGCAGAGTCCGTAGACTACTCTGCATACATAGTTCTACTGTCCTTCCCACTGGAATCAGTCTCACGCCTATGATCTTTAAGTATATTGTTTATTAAAGCTACAGTCTTTCTTACATCAATAAAATATGCAAATATCTTCTAAGAACCTGCCAAAAGTAGTGAAGAAAGTAGGTGAGCCAAAGAGTCATAGGAAGTCTCAAACATTAGAAGCAGGCTGAACAGGATACGACACACTGATAGAGGTTGAGGTTAATAGCCTAAGCTTGAGAGTGCACATATCACAACATACCATGAATACAATGCTTTCTTGTATTCAAAACTAAATAAAAATTGTTAAATATTTATTATGTAATAATGTATATTTAGATATTTTGGCATGTTTTACTGATATTAAGGCAAAATCTGTTGGGGTTTTTTGATGGGTTGGCATTGCATTATTTACCTCCTTTAACATTATTTAATGGAATATAAACCCACACTATCCACATTGTAACTATTCAACTCCTTCACAAGGGTATTTTTGACATATAATTAGGGAAGTCTGTGTTTTGCAAATAGAATATCAAAGAAATTCTGATGGAATATATGAGGAGTTACCAAAGAGAGAAATTAAGAAAGACTATTGGAATTTCCTTTTTTATGTGTTTAATTTTGTATTTGGATTGAACAAATCAATATTGGTTCTGTCTTCTGAAATTGAGATTTCTAGGAAAGAAATAATTTAGATGGTTGAATATCATTTCATTGTGCATCATATATAATATGCATTTCTCTTCTTCCCCATTGCCACTACCATTATTTAGGAATCTTATATTAATATATCTTATAGCTATATGCTACCTTAGTCATAAATTCAGATGGTTTAAGACTCTAATTTTCAATTGTCATAATATGACTTTTTTGTCAGAGAGGTACTTGGATTCTAGGATTAAAGTTTAATAGTTCTGTGAATTGAGAAAGCCATTTAAACCCCATTGAAATTTAATTTCTTTCCATGAGGTACAATTAATAATAACTACCTTGCAGAGATATTACACAAGAATGTATATAAAAGCACCAATTCTAATATGTGCCATATATCTGCAGAATTGGTTTCCATGGGAGGGAAAATGTATGTGTGTATAAAAATAGGTATGGTGACCATATCTATTCTGATTTTACATATCCCTCAAATCCTGCCATTTTCAACAACATGAATGATGTTGAAATTCTTAAGCAAATTCTTAATCTCCTTTCATCTCAAGCTTAAAAGAGCATAAAGTTTAGATAAAGAACCAAAAGTGGCACACTTAAAAATTAAACAACAAACGATGCTTCAAACATGAGACATACTAAGCTTGCAATATCTCATAGAAACTTAATGCTGGCAATTCTTCATTAATAGCTTCTTACTTTTATCCATAAAGGGAAAAACTAAGAAGCAAACAAAGAAGAAAACCTCCTGATGTCTTATTAAAGTATATCACTGGTCAGTTTGCTGGAGAGCCTATTATTTGGAGTAGAAAACAAAAAGCTAAGTAGGGAAGAAAAGGTTTATATTACCTATAAATTGTATCATGTTTATTTTTTCCGGATAATGCTAAGAATTTTAAGAATTTGAAACACTAGGGATATTTCTTCTAATAGAACACAACCATTGCTACTATTTTTGTGTATTGTCACCCAGATTTTTTCCTGATATTTTATTTTTAATGTAACCTAAAACACTATGTTTATTTGTACATTTTATAGATTTCATGTGCAAGTTTAATAAAATTACTTTCAATGTGTTTCTGTCACTTTATAAATAAGCATTACATCAGAGGTTCATAATAAAATATGAACCCTATTTTCTGATAAAACGATAAACATCTCTTGGTATTTTAGAAGATTTTTTGCAATACAGTGCAACACACAGAATTAAAGGAAATGTTCATTGTTTAATATTTTTTATATTTTGCTAAATTATTTTTTCCAAATACATTATTTCAATTTACACCCTATGTAGTATTGCTCAATTCACCAGCATTTGGTGTTGTCGTTTTAATGTTTGCTAATTTCATAGGTAAGATACAACTCATTTTTTTTCATTGAATACTACTATACATTAAAATGTTTTCATATTTTTAATGAGTTTTATTTCTCTTTTAGCAATTGTTACTTGATTATTTTTTGGTATCATTATACTTTATTTAATCAACAATGTTTAGACCTTATTTAAACCTTAGCTATATTTTCCTATGTTTGGACATACTGTTGTTTTCTTACAACTGACTTTGATATTAAAAACAAGTTATATATTTGATGCAATAGTCTTTCTATATATTTTTTATTTTACAAATAACATCTACATAGTCTTCACATTTTTTCTACCTTTTTAATCCAGCTAACAACAAATTTGCTTGTAATATATATAAAACAATTTTATGAAAAATTATTAATAACTGTGGCATTTAATCTATACAATGTCTTTGTGAACACACAGTATAGAACTGTGTGTTTGTGTATTACTTAAATGATGTTTTGACATAGTTCATATATTCATCATATGTTATGAAACTAAAAGAAAAATTAACTTAAGAATCCTTCCCAAATAAACAAATTACATCATTCTAAATATTTTCTTGGTGGGATCACAAGCTGTTACCATCTATTTATATAGCACTGTGGTTATTGAATAAGAACTGTAATATGCATATTCTTGATCAAAATGTACCATTTCTGAGAATTAATTAAGAAAACAATAGAATGATTATGCAAAGCTCTTTATCTTTACAACTCAAACAACTGAACATTTTGCAAGCACTTTTAATACAGTAATGAAAAAATATATGCCAATCTACAATTAAAGTATGATATATATATGAAAACACACTAGCCAGCTATTAAAACACATATGAATAAATATGTATTAACATAATAATTATGACCATAATAATACTTATATAATGCTTATTATATGACAAGCATGATTTTGAGGACTTTACATATAATAACTTGTTTAATCCTTACAACAGCCATAAGAAGTAGGACTATTTTATGTTTCTAACAGGGGAGCCAGAATTCTAACCCTAGCTCTCTGGCTCCAAGGTCCATGATATTAATACCTTTACTATGCTAGAAAAATAGCCACATCCTATTTAGTTTTGATTCAGAAAAAATAAGTAAGAAATCAGCATGAGAGTCAGGGAGAGAGAGAAGAAGAAAAGAGGGTGGGTGAAAGGAAAGAAGGGAAGGAAGGAAAGAGGGATGGAAGGAAGGAAGGAGAGAGATGCATGAGGAAATTCTTTAAGTTCTAGTAAGTAATGGTAGAAATATGGATACTGGAGTTTATACTGATTTTTACTTCATATTTGTTTGCCTTAATGGAATTTTGGACAGATATTCTATTAAGAGAAGCCAAACTTATTTGAAATCTAATATATAATGTAGATATGAATAGTTTCATACCTTCAGAAAAGAGAGGAAGGTTTTCCTAAGAGGAAATCTAATCGCAGCATACAGCAATACTAACTTGTCATAACTTTTTCATACATTAGACAGATGCCTGGATACAATTTCCAGTTCCTCAGAGGATGTGGCTAGGCAAGCCAAAATCTGTATAAAAGTGAGCAATTATAATTTAAGTTTCTACTTCCTGTGAATTGTTTTATGTCACTGTTATGGGATGAATTATGTCCTGCAAAAATTCATATGTTGAAATCTCAGCCCCCAGTGTCTTGGAATGCAATCATATTTAGAGATAAGGTCTTTAAAAAGGTGAATAAGTTAAAATGAGGCCATTAAGGTAGAAGCCTAATCCAATATGACTGTCATCCTTAGAAGAAGAGAAAAAGGCATGGGGAACTCATGGACACAGTCATGATCATGTGAAGAGGCAGCAAGAGGGTGGCCATTTGTAAGCCAAGATGAGAGATCTCACAAGAACCCACCTCACTAGCAATCTTGATCTTCAAGCTCCAGTCTCCAAAATTGAGAAAAAATCAATTTCTGTCATTTGGGTCATCCAATCTGTGGTATGTGGTATTTTGTGCAGCCCTAGCAAACTGATGCACTCACTAATGGAGATAAAGTTAGTTGAGGGAGGTTTGTCTTCTCATATACCCTATAGTAAGTGATAGTGAGCCAGGATCTTCCTATAAATACTAGTATATTAAAGTCAATGCTAGAGGAATATTTCTTAAAATTTGATCTTCAGACAAGCATCATTAGCATTACTTAGAAACTTAGAAATACAAATTTTTGAGCCTGGAGGTGCTCAAAAAATTTCTAATTAGTGAATTAGAAATTGGGCATGGGTAGAGGATCTGCTTCAACAAGCTTTCTAGGTGAAATGAGGCACCTTAAAGTTGATAACCCTGTGTTTCAAATGTCCTAAACTAGAGCCCAGGCAGGTGACATTCATGAGTGATGCAGCACAGGTATAAGACAACAGGAAAAGTCTGCATGATGGTGAACGAGAGAAGGCATGCATCTCCACCGAGGTCAAAACCAGCCAAGCAGCTAGGTAATGTGGAATGGGACACAGTTACCACAAACAAAATTTTAGGAGGACATTTTCTGACTATTAAATGTTAGTGGTTAATTCTAATACTTGTTGGCAGAATAACAAGAAATGTTTGCAGGACAGTTCCATCCTGTGTGACCTCCAATTAATAATAAC